AGTTCACTATGTTTGACCCACATAACACCTAGCTTTCCAAACTGTTAAAGATGAGCACTATTGTATTGTCTCAATCAGAAAATGTGGAAAAAGGGCGCCTGTGGCTCAGTCGGTTAAGCGACTTCCTTCGGCTCAGGTCATGATCCTGGAGTCCCTGGATCGAGTGCCGCATCGGGCGCCCTGCTCAGCAGGGAGTCTGCTTCTCCCTCTGACCCTCCCCCCTCTCATGTGCTCTCTCTCATTCTCTCTCTCTCAAATAAATAAAATCTTAAAAAAAAAAGAAAATGTGGAAAAATAACTCACTTCGGTAAATTTTGGTTGTATATGTTGCTAAGATAATAACTTACCTTTATTCATTCATTCACTTATTCTATAACCATTTATTGCATGCCTATTATGTGTTAGGCTCTGTACTAGTGTCTGAGATTCATCAGTTAAAAAATAAAGATCTCTGCTCTTGAGATGCTTACATTCTAGTTTTAGAATGGATTTACTTTTTTGTTGTTGTTAACTCAGCTATGTTTCTGTTGGCTTTTAACCAGTTTGAAGCTCATTCAGATTGTATCAGTCAGGATTATTTAGGGTACTGGTAATGTGTGGGGGAGAGACCGATAGTGGACAAGCATCCACTATACAGACATCAAAAATTATTTAAAATGTCTATTATTTTGTATTGGAATTCATTGAGAATTGTAGAACAATGTTCATATTTTGATTTTGGTTAAAAAAGAGGAAATTAATATGGCAAATTTAGGAGACTAGGAGATTCATGAATATATATGCATATTTATAGATGCCAAATAAATATCCATTTGCCCCCCCATACACACACACACACACACGCACTATATTGTATGAATGGTCTTCATTAGCTATTTTGTCAGATCCAGCTCACAGGTTTATTTAACTATTCTTAGGAATTTTAGCACATAGGTATTTTAAAAAACACAAGATGAGCAGAAGCACAGTTTATCACTTTTATAAGTTACAGTACTGATATGTAATTAACTCTAATGAATTCAACAGTCATAAAGAAATTATTAATTGATTTTTAAAACTAAGACCATTGTCATGGTTAACTAATTGCTGATGGGCATTTTCATTTCACAAACATTACTTCTGTTTATGAGAGTATCCATGCTGTGTTGTTGCTGGTTCAGTCTGCGGACTTGATCTATGTGTCAGGTTGGAAGCTGCAGACCTTCCTTGTTTTTAGTCATTAGGCCTGGGCTCTTTGTGAAAACTCTAAGAACTGGCATGGTTCATTCTCTGTTCATTCTCCTGAAAACTGCATTTTCTTCTTGATAGACAAATTCAACTTCTACCAATAAGCAAAAGATTTAGAGCAGCAGTTTTTTTATTGTTAATTTAAATTTTACTTAGTTAACATACAGTGCAATATTGGTTTCTGGAGTAGAATTTAGTGATTCATCACATACATACAACACCCAGTGCTCATCACAAATGCCCTCTTTAGTACCCATCACCCATCTAGTGCATCCCGCACCCCCCTCCCTCCATCAACCCTGTTTGTTCTCTATAGCTAAGAGTTTCCTATGGCTTGGGGTGCTCGGGTTGCTTAGTTGGTTAAACGTCTGCCTTCAGCTTAGCTCATGATCTCAGGGTCCTGGGATCGAGCCCCCCATTGGGCTCCCTGCTTGTCAGGGAGTCTGCTTCTCTCTCTTTCCCTGCCCCTCCCCCTGCTCATGCTCTGTCTGTCTCCCAAATGAATAAATAAAATCTTTTTTAAAAAGTTTCCTATGGGGGCGCCTGGGTGGCTCAGATGGTTAAGCATCTGCCTTCGGCTCAGGTCATGATCTCAGGGTCCTGGGATCGAGTCCCGCATCGGGCTTCCTGCTCCTTGGGAGCCTGCTTCTCCCACTGCCTCTCTCTCTCTGTCTCTGTCTCTCATGAATAAATAAAATCTTTAAAAAAAAAAAAGTTTCCTATGGCTTGTTTCCCTCTCTCCTTTTGTTCTTTCCCCCCTTCCCCTAAGTGCATATGTTCTGTTTCCTAAATTCTACATATGAATGAGATCATATGGTACTTGTCTCTGACTGACTTATTTCACTTAGCATAATACACTCTAGCTCCATCCACATCATTGCAAATGGCAAGGTTTCAATTTTTTGATGGCTGATTAATATTCCAGGGTGTGTGTGTGTGTGTGTGTGTGTGTGTGTACGTACATATCACCTCTTCTTTATCCATTCATCAGTTGATGGATAGACTCTTGGGCTCTTTCCATAGTTTGGTTATAGTTGATAACACTGCTATAAACATCGGGGTGCAGGTACCCCTTCAAATCTGTATTTTTGTGTTCTTTGGGTAAATACCTAGTAGTGCAATTGCTGGGTCATAAGATAATTCTATGTTTAACTTTTAGAGGAACCTCCAAACTGTTCTCCAGAGTGGCTGCACCCATTTGCATTCCTACCAACAGTGTAAGGGTTCCCCTGGCTCTGCATCCTCACCAACACCTGTTGTTTCCTGTGTTGTTAATTTTAGCCATTGTGATGGTGTGAGGTGGTATCTCATTGTGGTTTTGATTTGTATTTCCCTGATGATGAGTGATGATGAGCATCTTTTCATGTGTCTGTAGCCATTTGGATGTCTTCCTTGGAAATATATCTATTCAGATCTTCTGCCCATTTCTTTCTTTCTTTTTTTTTTTTTTTTTTTACTGGACTGTTTGGGTTTTGGGTGTTGAGTTTGATAAGTTCTTTATAGATTTTGGATACTAACCCTTTTCCAAATAGGTGATTTGCAAATATCTTCTCCTATCCCATAGGCTGCCTTTTAGTTTTGTTGACTGTTTCCTTCACTGTGGAGAAGCTTTTTATCTTGATAAAGTCCCAGTAGTTCATTTTTGCTTTTGTTTCCCTTGCCTCCGAAGACGTGTCTGGTAAGAAGTTGCTGTGGCCGAGATCAAAGAGGTTGCTGCCTGTGTTCTCCTCTGGGATTTTGATGGTTTTCCTGTCTCACATTGAGGTCTTTCAGCCATTTTGAATTTATTTTTGTGTATGGTGTAAGAAAGTGGTCCAGGTTCTTTCTTCTGCATGTGGCCGTCCAGTTTTCCCAACACCATTTGTTGAAGAGACTGTCTTTTTTCCACTGGATATTCTTTTCTGCTTTGCCAAAGATTAATTGACCATATAGTTGTGGGTCCATTTCTGGGTTCTCTATCCTGATCCATTGATCTACGTGTCTGTATTTGTGCCAGGACCATACTGTCTTGATGACTACAGCTTTGTACTATAGCTTGAGGTCCAGAATTGTGGTATCTCCAGCTTTGCTTCTTTTCTTTTTGGAGACTGCTTTGGCTCTTTGGGGTCCCTGCCGAGCAGGGAGCCCGATGCGGGACTCGATCCAGGGACTCCAGGATCATGACCTGAGCCGAAGGCAGTCGCTTAACCAACTGAGCCATCCAGGCGCCCCGGGTAGTAGAGACATTTTAACAATGTTTGTCCTGCCAATCCACGAGCATGGAATTTTTTCCCATTTCTTTGTGTCCTCTTTAGTTGCTTTCTTTCATAAATGTTCTAGAGTTTTCAGAGTACAGATCTTCTACCTCTTTAGCTAGGTTTATTCCTAGGTGTCTTATGGACTTTGGCGCAACTGCAAATAGGATTGGTTCCTTGATTTCTTTTTCTGCTGCTTCGTTATTGGTGTCTAGAAATGCAACAGATTTCTGCACATTGATTTTATATCTTGCAGCCTTGCTGAATTCGTTTATCCGTTCTAGCAATTTTTTGGTGACGTCTTTTGGGGTTTCCACATGGAGTATCATGTTGTTTGGAAATAGTGAAAGTTTGACTTCTTCCTTGCCGATTTGGATGCCTTTTCTTTTTGTTGTCTGCTTGCTGAGGTTAGGACTTCCAGTACTGTGTTAAATAGTCATAGCGAGAGTGGACATCCCTGTCTTGTTCCTGACCATAGAGGAAAAGCTCACAGTTTCTCCCCATTGAGGATGATATCAGCTGTGGGTCTTTTGCATGTGGCCTTTATGATGTTGAGGTATGTTCCATCTATCCCTATGTTGTTGAGGGATTTTATCAAGAATGGATGCTGGATTTTGTCAAATGCTTTTTCTCCGTCTATTGACAGGATCATATGGTGCTTATCCTTTCTTTTATTAATGTGGTGTATTATGTTGATTGATTTGCAAATATTGAACCATCTCTGCGGCCCAGGAATAAATCCCACTTGATCGTGGTGAATGATTCTTTTAATGTACTGTTGGATTTGATTTGCTAGGGTTATTGAGAATTTTTGCATCCATGTTCCTCAGGGATGGTGGCTTGTCATTCTCCTTTTTAGTGGGGTCTTTGTCTGGCTTTGGAATTGAGATAATGGGGGCCTTGTAGAAGGAGTTTGGCAGTTTTCCCTCCATTTCTATTTTTGGAGCAGTGTGAGAAGAATAGGTATGAATTCTTCTTTAAATGTCTGGTAGAATTCCTCTGGAAAGCCATCTGGCCCAGGACTTTTGTTTGTTGGGAGATTTTTGATTATTGATTCAATTTCTTTGCTGGTTATGGGTCTGTTCAAATTTTCTATTTCTTCCGTTTCAGACTGGGTAGTTTGTATGTTTCTAGGAATTTGTCCATTTCTTCCACATTGCCTAGTTTGTGGGCATATAATTTTTCATAATATTCTCTTATAATTGTGTTTGTGTGCTGTTGGTTGTTATTTCTCCTCTCTCATTTGTGATTTTATCAATTTGGGTCCTTTCTCTTTTCTTTTTGATAAGTTTGGCTAGGGGTTTATCAATTTCATTAATTCTTTCAAAGAACCCATTCTTGGTTTTGTTGATCTATTCTACTGGGGTTTTTTTGTTTTTATATCATTTATTTCTCCTCTGATGTTTATTATTTCTCTACTTCTGATGGCTTTAGACCTTACTTGCTGTTCCTTTTCTAGCCTCTTTAGGTGTAAAGTTAGGCTGTGTATTTGAGACTTTTCTTGCTTCTTGAGGTAGGCCTGTATTGCAATATACTTACCTCTGACCGCATTTGTTGCATCCCAGAGGTTTTGGACTATCATGTTTTCATTTTCATTTGCTTCCATGTATTTTATTTCTTCTTTAATTTCCTGGTTAACCCATCACTCTTTAGTAGGTTGTTCTTTAATATTCATGTATGCGTGGTCTTTCCAAATTTTTTCTTGTGGTTGAATTCAAGTTTCGTATCATTACGGTCTAAAAATATGCATGTTATGATCTCAATCTTTTTGTACCTGTTGAGGGCTGATTTGGGACCCAGTATGTGTTCTAATCTGGAGATGGTCCATGTGCGCTGAAAAAGAGTATGTATTTGCACTGCTTTAGGATGTAATATTCTGAATATATCTGTTAAGTCCATCTGGTACAGTGTGTCATTCAAAGCCATTGTTTCCCTGTCGATTTTCTGCTTAGATGATCTGTCCATTACTGTAAGTAGGGTGTTAAAATGCCCTACTATTATTATAATATTATCAATGAGCTTCATGTTCTTTATTGGTTGATTTATATATTTGGGTACTCCCAATTTGGGGGCATATTTACAGTTGTTAGATCTTCTTGATAGATAGACCCCTTAATTACGCTATAATGTCCTTCTTCATCTTGTTACCACCTGTGCTTTTTTTTTAAGATTTTAATTTATTTATTTGAGAGAGAGAAGGAGCAGGGGCCAGGGCAGAGGCAGGGGGAGAAGCACACTCCTTGCTGAGCAGGGAGCCCGATGCAAGGCTTGATCCTGGACTCCAGGGTCATGACCTGAGCCAAAGGCCGACACTTAACCAACTGAGCCACCCAGATGTCCCAGTCTTGTTACCGTCTTTGGTTTAAAACCTAGTTTGTCTAATATAAGTATGGCTACTCCAGCTCTCTTTTAGCGTTCATTAGCATGATAGATGGTTCTCCATCCCCTCACTTTCAATTTGCAGTGTGCAGAATCTCTTCGGGGCTGGTTGGCTCAGTCGGTTAAATGTCTGCCTTTGGCTCAGGTCATGATCATGGAGTCCCAGAATTGAGCCCCGGGTCAGGCTCCCCATTCAATAGGGAGTCTGCTTCTCCCTCTCCCTCTGCCCCTCCCCACTTGTGCTCTCTCTCACTCACTCTAATAAATAAAATCTTTAAAAATAATAATATAAAATAAAATAAAATGGGTCTCTTGTAGGCAGCATATAGATGTTTTTGTTTTTAATCGATTCTGATACCCTGTCTTTTTTTTTTTTTAAAGATTTTATTTATTTATTTGAGAGAGAGAGAATGAGAGAGAGCACAAGATGGGGGAGGGTCAGAGGGAGAAGCAGACTCCCTGCTGAGCAGGGAGCCCGATGCGGGACTCGATCCCGGGACTCCAGGATCATGACCTGAGCTGAAGGCAGTCGCTTAACCAACTGAGCCACCCAGGCGCCCCTACCCTATGTCTTTTGATCGGAGCATTTAGTCCAATTATATTCACAATGATTACTGATAGACATGAATTTAGTCCCATTGTGTTACCTGTAAAGTTGGTGTTTCTGGTGATGTTCCGTGTTCCTTTCTAGTCTTTGTTTCCGTTGGTCTTTTTTTCCCCAAAGAGTCCCCTTTAATATTTTTGCAGGGCTGGTTTAGTGGTCACAATCTCCTTTAGTTTTTGTTTGTCCTGGTAACTCTTTATCTCTCTTTCCATTCTGAATGACAGCCTTGCTAGATAAGTATTCTTGGCTGTGTATTTTTTCCATTCAGCACATTGAATATATCATGACACTGTCTTCTGGCCTGCCAAGTTTTTGTGGGCAAATCTGCTACAAGCCTGATCTATCTTCCCCTGTAGGTTAAGGACTTTTGTTTTCCCTTGCTGCTTTCAGGATTCTTTCCCTGTCTGTGTGTTTTGTGAATTTGACTATGATATGTCTGGGTGCTGGCTGGCTCTTATTGAATTTAAAGGGAGTTCTCTGTGCTTCTTGGATTCCAATGTCTGTTTTCTTCCCCAGATTAGAGAAGTTCCTTCCCCAGATTAGGGAAGCTATAATTTGCTCAAATAAACCTTCTGCTCCTTTTTCTTTCTCTTCTTCTTCTGGGACTATGATAAAAAGGAATTTAAGGAATTGCTGGGTTCCCTAAATCTACATTTGGGATTGAATACCTTTCTTTACCTCCTTTTTTCAGCTTCATTATTTTCCATAATTTTATCTTCCGTATCACTGATTTCTCTACTTCATCCATCCTCATTGTCATGGAATCCCTTCTGTTTTGCATCTCAGTTACAGCATTTTTTATTTCAGCCTCACTAGTTTTTAGTTCTTTTATCTCTGCAGTAAGGGATTCTCTAGTGTCTTCTATGCTTTTCTCAAGCCCAGCTGGTATCCTTATGATTATTGATTAAATTCTGGTTCAGACATCTTACTTGTATCTGTATTGATTAAATCCCTGGCTGTGACTTCTTCTTGTTCTTTCTTTTGGGGTGAATTCCTCCATCTTGTCATTTTGCCTGGGTTACTGTTTTTTGTGTGTGATTAAGAAAGCCTGTTGTATTCCTGCCCCTGAGAGTAATGGTTATATTAAAAAGAGATAAAAAGAGATTTAAAAAAAAAAAGGAAGCTAGATCCTAGGTCTGTTTTGGTCTGCTTGTTAAAAGAAGCTAGATCCAAAAAACAAAAGAAAACAAAATAGCTGGATCCAATTTCCCTTAGAGCTGAAGCTTTGCAGCACTCTATGATCAGTAGATGTGGTCCATGCAAAGGGTTTGTGCTGGTGTTCTGGGGGAGAGACCTGCTGAGCTGATTCTCAGGCGGACTTGCTCTAGTGGATATGCATTTGCAGGGTGCAGTGGGGTGGGACTTGAGGTAAGTGACTCCAGTCTCCACTGGGGAGGTGCTGCGTTACTGAGGCTCCCTGGTCATTGCTGATGGACAGTGGGGAAAATGGCATCATCCCGCTCTCTCCTCCCTGGAACAAAGAGTTTGAGCCCACCACTCTTTAGGAAGCCCTCACAGAAGAGCAATCACCCCTCTTGTGTCCCAGACTTCCATCAGATCCCTGCCTTCACCCTATGTCCCACCTGTCTGCCTGCCAGGTAGCACAGTACTCTTTTTTTCTCAGTTGTGCAGTTCGGTTTCAAAATCAAATTTTATGGACCCATGCCACACAGACCTGCACTGATCCTCTGGGGGAGGGTCTTGCTGCACTTTTGCCATTTGCCAGTTTGTCCCAGAAAAGCAGTCACACAGCCGAGCAGTGGTTCAGAGTCTATGGCAAAGCATAGCAATAAGCTGGCACCAAGGCTTGCTGCCCTCAGCTGGTGTCTTTGTTCCTATGGTAGGGAATGGGCAGCATGTTGGCACTGCCAGGTCTTCTGTCCCCGGAGAGGCCGTGCCACCACTCCCAAATGCACTCCAAGAAGGGGTACTCTTTCTCCCCATGCAACCCAGGAGATTCTCAGACCATGCTGCCTGCTCCCAGGTCTCTGCCCTCCTTCCCTGCAAAAGCACCATTTAGCCCCCAGGCACGACCCCATGACTCAGACTTCTAAAACTTCAGACTTTGCACTCCACTGCTTATAATAACTTGAGGTAGGCAGCCCCTCTCCTTCTCCCAGTCAATGGTTTGGGGGAAGTTTTTAATTCTCTGCCTGTTGCTTCACTTCCTCTCTCACTCCTCTCTCTACAATCAAGTCTCCCTCCCCTCCATAGCACCTGTAGTTTTCCTCCCCCAAATCAACTCTCTGCAGTCCCCATCTTCCACAAAGTGGTTGTTTTTCTACTTGTGGATGTGCAGTTTTCTCAGTCCTCAGACTGATTTCTTGGGTGTTCAAAATGATTTGATATTTATCTAGCTGGGTTCAAGGAACGAGCCAAGTGCAGGGTCCCCCTACTCCTCTGCCACCTTAACTCCTTTCCAATCACCCCTTTTGACAAATGTACTTCATTTACTAAGTGCTTACTGTGTATCAGGCAATACTAAGCATTGAGGATAGAGATATGTATAATACTGAACTGAAAACAATCATAATCTAGTAATCAAAACAGTAACAAAGTGCTCAGTGCATGCAATAATAGAAAAATATATGCAGTAATGAAATGGTCAGGAAGATATAAATATCTTGGAAGGGTGAGAGTAGACAAAAGCTTCACAAGAAAGTGGAACTATATCTGTTTGTTGTTAGTGTATAGAAAAGCAATTAAGTTTTGTATTTTGATTTTGCATCATTCAACTTTATAGAATCCATTTGTTCTAATGGTTTCAGACTGGATCTTTAGGTTTCCTATATATGTCATCCACAAAAAAAGACTACTTGTTCCTTTTCAATTTGGATTATTTTATTTCTTTTTCTAGTCTAATTGTTCTAGGTACGAATTCCAGTACTATGTTGAATAAAAAGCAACGAGTGGGTACCCTTGTCTTGCTCCCAATCTTAGAGGAAAAATTTTCAGCTTTTTACTGTTGAGTATATTAGCTTTAGAGCTTGTCATATATGATCTTTGTTATGTTGAGGTATCTCCCTGCTACATCTAGTGTGTTGTTTTTATGGTGAAAGGATGTTGAATTTTATAAAATGATTTTTCTGCATCTATTGAGATGTCATAGGAGTTTTATCCTTCATTTTTAAAGTGGTGTATGATATTATTTGTGGATGTGGAACCATCACTCCATCCACAGAGTAAGTCCCACTTGATCACAGTGTATAATGCTTTTACTGTATTGTTGAATTTAGTTTGCTAACATTTCATTGAGGATTTTTCATCTACACTGATCAAAGATAATAGCCTGTAATATTCTTTTATTGTAGTGTCAAGATCTAGCTTTGATATCAGGTAATACTGACCTATTAAAATGAGTTTAGAAGTGTTCCCCCCCACCCCTATTTTTTTGGAAGAGTTTGAGAAGGATGGGTATTAATTCTTTAAATGTTTGGTAGAATTCACCAGTAAACCATCTGGTCCTGAACTTTTCTTTGCTGAGAGGCTTTGGATTACTGCCTCAATTTCCTTTCAGTAATTGTTCTACTCAGATTTTCTATTTCTTCATGATTCAGTATTGATAGGTTGTGTTTCTAGGAATGTATCTGTTTATTCGTTTCTTTCAATTTGTTGGGGTAAAACTGTTGGTAGTGTTCTCTTATGATCCTTTGTATTTCTGTGTATATCAGTTGTTAGGTCTTCTCTTTCATTTCTGATTTTCAATCTTTTTTTCTTGATGAGTACAGCTAAAGGTTTGTCTATCTTTTCAAAAGTCAGCTCTTACAGTGATCTTTTCTATCATGTTTTCAGTCTCTGTTTCATATATTTCCACTCTAATATTTGTTATTTCCATCTTTCTACTAACTTTGGGCTTAGTTTGTTCTAGTTCCTTGAGGTATAAAAGTAGGCTATTTGAGATCTTTTTCCTTAATGTAGACATTTATCACTACGTCTCTCTTAGAACTACTTTTGTGGTAATCCCGTAAGTTTTGGTATATTGTTTCCTTTTTCATTGTCTCAAGATACTTTTATTTCTCCTTTAATTTCTTTCACCCATTTGTTCTTCAGAATCATGCTGTAATATCCAAATACTTGTAAATTTTTCAGTCTTCTCATTGTGATTGATTCCTACTTTCATACTACTGTGGCCAAAAAAGATGCTTGATATGATTTCAATCTTCTTAAATGTATTAAGACTTGTTGTTGCCTAATGTGATCTATCATGGAGAGTGTTCCGAGTGCACTTGAAAACGTGGATTCTGTTGCTTTGGATAAAATGTCCTGTATATGTCTGTTAGGTCCATCTGGTCTAATATGTCATTTAAATCCAAGTTTCCTTATCGATTTTCTGTCTGGACAATCTATTGTTGAAAGAGGGATGTTGAAGTCCCCTTCTATTATTGTACTGCTATTTCTCCCTTCAGATCTGTTAATATGTGCTTTACACATTTAGGTACTCCTATAATAGGTGCATATTATTTACAGATGTTATATCCTCTAGATGAATTGGCTCCTTTATCATTATAATATTGACTTTTCTCTCCCAGTTTGACAGAGTGGTCTCATGTAGATGAAGCTTGTCAATTAGTTCAGCCCAGCCTCCTCTCTCTCAAACTTTTATGACTGCCCAAGCCATTACCTCTGTTCTTAGTGGCTCCCAGTATGGGTATGCAAGACCCATCTGTGTCACAAGGGGGAGGATTATAGTCAGCACTTAAATGCAGGCTGATTACAACCTTGACCTTCAGGCAGCAACTATAAAAGTATGTAGTTCAGCCCCTTTCAGGGAGAACCTGGGTAATGGGCATTTTTGCCTTCCCTCTTTGTGCCAAGCACAGGTTTATAGCCAGAGAGGGGTATTTCTGTACCCATGTAAAAACTGCTTGTTTGCTATAATCCTATGGGATTCATGCATGCAACCCTGTTGGCTATCAGAGCTAGGTGGCTTGGGGGCCCATCCCTCAGGCTGTAGCCACAAAAGCTGGGGGTCCATACATGTGTACAAGCTTCTTCCAGAGAGATCTTGGCCACTAAGTTTAAGGCTGTGGAAATTTCCAACAGCTTTCCCAGTCTTTAGAGGATATCACAGCCAGTCACTAGATACATGCTAAATTAATAAGCCAGACCCTCAGGGCACCTGGGTGGCTCAGTCCTGGGATCAGCCTCAGTGGGGAGTCTGCTTCTCCCTCTCCCTCTGCCCACCCCACCACCACCCCTGCTGGTGCACACCATCTCTCAAATAAATAAAATCTTAAAAAAAAAAAAAAAAAAGCCAGAGCCTCAAACAATAGCATGTATACAGTCAGACCCTTTTCAGGGAAAGACTAGAAGATGGGTGTTTTTTCCTGCTCCCTCTACTCTGAGCCTAGGGAGACAGTTGTGTCAAGCGGTCACACACCCATTAAGAACAGCTTCTTTGTATGCAATAGTCTTGTGGGTCTTGTAGAGGTAAGCCCTGTTGGCTTTCAGATCTAGATGTCTTGACTCTGCTGGTTTCTGCACATTAGATATAAAAGCCACCTCTCCCAATTTAACAGAGTGGTCTCAGGTAGATGAACTTCATTAATCAGTTTAGCCCAAGCTCTTGGTAATCTCTCAAACCTTTATGATTATCCAAGCCACCACCTTTGTTCTTAGCGGCTCTCAGCAGGCAAGGGTGTGCAAGATCCATCTGTGTCACAAAGAGGGAGGATTGCAGTCAGTCCCTCAGTTGGGAGTCATAAGTTGGGGTGCTAGATGTGCAGTCCAAAATCTTTGTTCCCCAAAGAGAAGCTGGGATTTGGGGGTTCCCTCTCAATTTTATGACACTCTACAGGAATATGATTTGTGGTGAGTGTGTCTCAGCCCTTCCAACCACTAGGTATTTTCTCTTCCGCCCAACGTGTGGAGTTGGCTCAGCTAGTTTTTGGATTTCTTCCAGAGGGTGCTTCTCTCAGTGTAGCTGTACATTTGGTACATCCATGAAAGGAAGGATGTTCAGGAGCCTCCTATATGGCCACCTTGGTCAAATCTCCAAATGCTGGCTATTTCTACTAGACACTGTGGAATGGCTCATTCAGTACATGTTCTAACACCTTCTTCTAGTACTGGGGCTAAAAAGCTTAAAAACTATTGCCCAATCTCTTGCACTTAGGGTTCTAGATTTCATTTAAGTTCCTACAATCAGATGTTAACCTTGACTTCGGCATCCACTTGCATTGATGACTTGAAACAGCAGTGGCATAGTCTGGGACGGCAGCTTTAAGTGCAGCTTCCTAAGGTGGCAGGTTATTTTTTTGTTCATAGTAGAAACACTGGAGCTGATAGTTGTGGTGGTGTCTTTCTGCTTTAGCGCATCCCAATTGTGGCAAACGCAACAATCCCTCTTCAGCCAATGTGGGTCTGGGAACTATTCCTGGAAGCTCAACCTACAGTCTGTAAAACATTTAATACTCCATGATGAATCTCTTTCTGCTTAAACAGTTAGAGTGAATTTTTATTTTCCACAACTGAACACTGACCAAAATACTATTGTTATTTCTTCAGGAGAAAATTTCCATCTGGAAGAAAATGATTTGTGACCAAGATGGCAATTCAGAGACAGAATTCATCAGATATTTGACTTTAAGTCAGTGAAGTGGGAACCACACTCATAAATAAAGAATGGCAAGCAATGGTTTGTAATGTGCTTTGGCAGGCATTTGGGGTATTGAAATTTGGTGTAGCTTTTAAAAGTATATCTGAATTCCTTGACTATAACTTAGTTTAATTAAAAAAAATGCTACCGTTTTTTTGCTATATATTCCTTCTTATAAGCATGTATCAGGATTGTTCCACATAAAAAATCTTCAAGGAGCAGTAACTACTCATCTGCATGCACCAGCAGAACCTGGAAAGGTCAAGCACTGGGTCTGAACTCCCAATAGGAATCATAAGAGAACTCAGAATCCAGGTCTCTTTATTGCTGGGACTTGAAAGCTGTTCTGTCTGAATTTAGCTGCCCTTCTTTCTTCACCTCTGTGCCCATGAAAGGCTCTCAGTATCACATCCTCTACCTTTAACCCTACTTCAGTAGTGATTGATGAACAGCTGAGGAAGATGTGTGACACTTTCTGTGGCTTTGACTTCATGATCATTTTCTAGGTGAACAAGCTATAGCTATAAAATAGACCCAGTAAATTTTTGTAGCAGATAGTCTGGAGACAACAAGTATTTATTGAGTGCCAAAGTATAAAGCATTCCAGGTAGTTGAGATGATAGATGATAGATAAGATAGATAGACAGATAGATAGATATAGATAGATAGATAGATAGATAGATAGATAGATAGATAGATATAGATAATATAAATATAAATATAAATAAATAAAACAAACAGATCTAGTTCTTGCTCTTAACTAACAGACACTGATCATTTTGTTTCTGTTTCTGCTTACTTATAATGTCACTGTGATGGAAATGAAACAAAAGGCACAGATGCAGACCTTAATCTGAGATGTGTTTCTGTGTTACACATACAAAATAAAACTCAGCTAAAATCTCTTTTACTGTAAGTAATTTCCTCCCAATAATTTATGCAGACCTGAAAAAGTCTATAGAGTTTAACCATTTTATACTCCCTATGTGTGGAAAAACTAACAACCAAATAAATCCTCTATGGAAATTTTCTGTATCTTGACAGGGGTTTGGGCAACCCTGGCTTTCGCATGAGTCAAATTTTATCTAATGGTACACTTAAGATTTGGATATCACTGTGACATAAATTTTACACCCCCCCACACACAAATTGAAAATAAATATTAAACTCCAGTTAATTACATGCATGCTAAAATGTCTAGGAATGAAGTATACTTATACCTGAACTTAACTTTGAAATGCATCAAAAAATAAAATGGATGGGTAGAAGGCAAATATAACACCATATTAAGAATCATAGAATCTAAGTAAACAGATTCTTTCAACAACTCTTTCAAATTTTCTTTATGTTGAAAATTTTCATGAAAGTTTGGTAGGGGGGAGGGAATGGTCCCCTACAGCAGACCAATCACAATTTGCAAATTGGTACCAATCCTGGGACCACACTGAGTTGTACAAATAACCCTATGAAAAAATAAAACAACAGCAGAAAATAATACAAATATGATAGATCATGGAAAGAATGGATTTATTTTCTAGGCATAAAGAAAATGGAAGGAGGAGGAAAGAACATAAGAAGTTCATTCAATAATACCCTGCTAAAGAAAAACCTGCAACCACCAGCTGAAAACCCTGATGGAAGTTCTTACAAAAATATCTGCAGGGTGTTTTTTAAAGTATTTTTATTACACTTGAAAACAGAAAGATTGTTTTGCTTTCTACTTCAGGGTAATAAACTGCCACTACTAAAGGAGGGGGATCGCACTGAGTGAAGGGCCCTCTACTGTAGAGCACCTTGGTAGGTTTGGAGGTAGGGGTAAGATAGGGAGAGAAAAGGTGGGAGAGGGAAAGGAAAAGGAACAGAGAAATATGACGGAGATGAGAAATATGAAAAGATGAAGGAGAGAGGGAAAAGAATTTGAAGTTCCAGGGCCAAGAAGAGAAAAAGAGGAACCCACTAGATGAAGTCTGAAACAAATGAATTCAGTAAAACCACATGGTGGTGGGTGGCCAAAGGACATTCTGAAACCTGAGAAGCTGCCTGATTCATTTGAGGTTGTTTGCATTGCTGCTATATAAATTCTGCTTGCTATCCTTTCTTCCAAATCTTCACTAAAGGCTCTTAAACTCATGAATGTTTAATGTGAATAGGCTTTTAGGCAGGGAGTTCAGTTTTGTTTCTGGGTCAATGGAGTGCAGAAATCTTGAGGAGGGCTTCAGATTCCCACAGGCCTTGGAATGAGAGGTGTCTAAGTCAATTTTACAGAAATCTCTAGGGCTCAGGATGAATGGGAAGGAGGGAGAGCAGACATTGGTTTATTCAAGGAAAAGCTGGCCTGCAGAGAAAAAAAAAACTCAAACCCACTTTTTCTCTCCATTTTTAACCCAGAATACCCTCATTACCAGGTTTGGAAATTCAGGAGTCAGTAACTTTTGGTGATCGTCTTTTTTTCATGGGGCAACACTGCCACCTACTGGTAATTGTAAAAAAAAAAATTTTTTTTTTTTTTTAAATTTTATTTTATTACGTTATGTTAGTCACCAAACATTACATCGTTAGTTTTTGATGTAGTGTTCCATGATTCATTGTTTGCGAATAACACCCAGGGCTCCATTCAATACATGCCCTCCTTAATACCCATCACCAGGCTAACCCATCCCCCCACCCCCCCTCCCCTCTAAAACCCTCAGTTTGTTTCTCAGAGTCCATAGTCTCTCATGGTTCATCTCCCCCTCCGATTCTCCCCCCCTTCATTTTTTTTTTTTTTTTAAGATTTTATTTATTTATTTGAGACAGAGAGAGCACATGAGAGGGGGGAGGGTCAGAGGGAGAAGCAGACTTCCTGCTGAGCAGGGAGCCTGATGCGGGACTCGATCCGGGACTCCAGGATCATGACCTGAGCCGAAGGCAGTTGCTCAACCAACTGAGCCACCCAGGCGCCCCGTCCCCCCCTTCATTTTTCCCTTCCTCCTATCTTCTTTTTTTTTTTTTAACATATAATGTATTATTTGTTTCAGAGGTACAAGTCTGTGATTCAACAGTCTTACACAATTCACAGCGCTCACCATAGCACATACCTTCTCCAATGTCTATCACCCAGCCACCCCATCCCTCCCACCCCTCACCACTCCAGCAACCCTCAGTTTGTTTCCTGAGATTAAGAATTATGAGGAATTCTTAATAATTCTTAATCTCAAAAAAATATTTTATAATAGTTTTAAACTTGCAAACAGAGAACTGGGGAACTTTTGTCTTTCATTTACTGACAAACTCTTTCTTTGTGATGGAACCCAAACTTGAATAAGGTTCTTTGTCCTCAAAGACTTTATATTATCTAATGGAAAACTTAATAAAAACACCTTCTTACCTTTAAGGATTCAGGCATCATTTCATCAGGATAATCTTTCTTGACAGCAGGTCCCCACCCTTCTGAGGGAGAAAAGGACTACTCTCCTTCCCTTGGGCTCTACTCCATCCTGTACACATTTCTTTTTTAACACATACTATATACTACTGTACTTATTTTATCACAATTATCTGTCTCCCAGATCAGACCATAAGCTCCTTAAAATTCAGGTACTGTATCCTTTCCACATTTATATTCCCAGCACCTAGAACAGAACCTGCACCTTATAGCTAATAAATATATGATAAATGAATAAATTAATGACAATCAAAAAGCACAGGCAAGGTAAGTAGCACTCTATAAAACTTTTATTAATTAAAAACAATTTTAAATAAATATTTGAACTCCAGATGTGCACATTATGTACTTCTTTGTGTATGTGGTATCTTTTACCTTGTCCAAAAAAACTACATTTTACAAAATCCATATACATGAAATCAACAGGATAAAGAACATAAAGTTACCTTATCAGACAATTTTCCCATCAGTCTATAATCCATAAACTCTTAATTATCATAGGATAATCTAAAATAAGACACTAGTGGGCTCTGTCATCAGCTCTTAAGAGAACCAAGTTAAGAAGAAACATTCAGAGTAAATAAATTTTATCTGATAATGAGTCAGCACTGCTAAGGTATAAAGGAATCTGAAACATGTTCTATCTGAATTATCCATATTAATTACATAACCCAGGATCACAGAGTTGAGTTTGAGATCTATTAAGATCCTCCTATCAATTCTAGGGAACTCCAGAGCACCCAAGTCTCTCCCTGGAAATTAATTTCCCTATGGGGAAAGATAATTGGCCCTTGACTAAGCCTCCTGAGTCTGAATAAGAACTAAAGAACTCTCTCCTTCAGAATTCTCTGGGAACACATTTCCAGGGAACATGGCCACTCACCTTCAGTCAAGATAGGGACAAACAGGGGCACCTGGGTGGCTCAGTCATTAAGCGCCTGCCTTCGGCTCAGGTCATGATCCCTGGGTCCTGGAATCGAGCCCCGCATTGGGCTCCCTGCTCAGTGGAGAGCCTGCTTCTCCCTCTCCCACTCCCCCTGCTTGTGTTCCCTCTCTGGCTGTGTCTCTCTCTGTCAAATAAATAAATAAAAAATCTTTCAAAAAAAAAAAATAGATAGGGTCAAAGAAATATGCAAAAGAAGTGGCAGGGGGCCAAGCCTTATGACACAGCCCTGTTTCACAGTGTTTCACAGGGTTCTGCACACATGCATCGTCAAGCAGATAACCTGGACACCTTATTACACAAGCAAAATCTGATGCAAATCCCTTCATGTTCTTCCCATTTGCTTCAGATTTTCTACTTTCCATCCATTCTTCTTTCCTTATCTTCCTAAGGTTGATCTCATCCTTTCCCAGTTAAGTTTTGAGACCTTAATTCATAAACCATCTCTTTAGCCTTCCTCCATTTCCTCCACCAGGTCTCCCTACATACTGAAACACCAAATCTCTTTCGTCTTGAAGGAAGAGAGCCCCCATGAGTCCTGTTTCTGAAGACCCCAGTGACGTATCTTAATCTCTTCTTCCCTTCACTGTCAACCTTCATAAAAGACTTTACTTGCTGCCACAATTCTCTTCTCCCTCTTATAGTACAATTCTTTGAGATCTGAGTTTTTGCAGATTCATGTGTTGGTACTTTACCCAAAATTACCAATAACCTCCAAGTTGTCATATTCAGTTACTCCTACTCGATTTCTGAAGCCTTTGACAATGATTATTGCTCTTTACTGACACATACTTCTCCCACTTTTTTGCACTCCATTCTCTTCCTACTTCTCCAGATCAGTTCTTCTCAGTTTCCTTCCCTGGAACTTCCTCTGCCTTCTACCTCTAAAATAGAAGGTAAAAGATGTACTAAGCAGTTTAATCCTCATCTTGTTCTCACATGACATATTCTTAGGGATTTCACCTATTATTTCTGTCCTTCATTGATCTGATAAAGATCTATTAAAGGTCAACCATGTGACAAGTACTTTCCTTAGAGCTTGTGATTTAGCAATGAACAAGAACTAATGAGATCCCCATTATCATCCACTGATACTCTAGTGTGCATGTTTGTTGGAAGGGAAGGGTGGGTAGTGACAGATACCGAACAAATTAAAAAGCAAATGAGTAAGAAAGTATCAAAATACATTTCTAAGCCTGTCAGAAAAAGCCTCTCAGTTTAGTTCCCAAGGCTGGCATAGATCAGCCCCAGAACATCTAGCTAGGGAGCTTGCCAGCTGAGGTTTCTGAGTATGGGAGAGGATCACAGCTCAAAGTGAGTCCACTTAAGCTGAGCTGACTCTAACTTCTGGCCAGCTCTCTAACACTAGAGGCCATGTCAGCCAAGAAACATTACTAGGCTCTGACAAAACTGCAGGAGAGGAGTCCCAAGTGTTGACAGGGAGAGCAGCAACCAACAAAGGACATCGCCACGGCAACACTGGGAGCCTTGAGACAATATGTGAATTGAGAATCCTGATTGCTTCAAGCAATAAGATCATAGAAGTCACCCCTCCATCACATACCAAGATGCTATCTTAAAGTGACAGGCTAACTGAGACCCCAAGCAGTTATATTAAGACATAAGCATTGTTGAAAGGAAATTTTAAAATTCTTACATAAGCCTAAGTTTTAAACCTGATTTAAACAATTTCCTTGTATTTTTTGCTGCTGTTGTTTAATTTGCTCCCTCATACTCCCATTCTCCCAGTAAGCAGCTGGTTGAGGACTGTAAATGGTATATTAGAGCAGTGATAGCACATAAACTCCTCCCTGCAGTTGAGTTTTGAAATGGCTATGTAGACTTATGACATGGCTACATGTTTGTTTCTAATTCTGACCTCCTGCGTAAGTTCCAGACCAGGATCTTTATAGTCTGGTGGTCCAAAACAAAATGTATCTCTCCCACCTACAGACCAACTTCTTCCTAAATCCCTCCCATCATTAAAATGGATTCCTGATCCTCCTATTGATTGAAAACTCTGAAGTCTCCAAACTGTCACAAACCTAACCTGAAACACTGCTCAGATATGCTTATTTATATATTCACTGGCACTCTGCTAACTCAGGACTTCTTTAACTCTCATCTAAAATATTACAAAGTCTCTTAACTGGTTTTCCTGGGGACAGGGTATGAAGACTGGCGTGTGGGAGTGGACACAAAGTATGAGGATCTTTATGTCACATATTAATACTACACTAGAGAACACCTACCAAAAAAGAGGCACGAAACAACCAAGTATACAGAATACTAACCACCAAAATCATGTAGCTTCTGCCACTGTCACCTTAGTGCTGGTTTAATGGACAAAGTAGCCATGGTGGCAGGCTCCGACAGTATGGGTTCCTTCTCACCAAGGCTGATCTAGCCAATTATTACTGCAGATTATCCAACATGCCAGTAACAGAGACCAAAGCTGAGCCCCTAATATGGCACACTGCCTCAAAGAGATCAAGCAGATACTTAGTACAAATTGATTACATTGAACCCTTTTCACTCTGGAAGGAAGTGATTCACCTGACAAGAATCAACACATATTAGTAGTATGGATTTGCCTTAGCACCACTTCCGGAGAGCTAACATTTCAGGTCCACTTTAACTATATCCTATGTAACATTACTTCAGACCAAGGGACCCTCTTTATAGCAAAGGATATAAGCAAAGACCATGGGATCCACCAGTCCTATCACATACTGCAACATTCAGAAGCTGCCGGCCTATGAGCAATGGAAGAGCATTCTAAAGGCATGACTGAAGCACTCCTTTGGAGATACCATGTGGATAGTATCCACCCTCCTCCAAGATGCAGTTAAACTCTAAATCAATAACCATTATATATGCTGCTGCATCTGTAATAAGTAAAATACATACAGCCATGAAACAAAGAGGGGGAAAGTAGGAATGGCCTCATTTGCCATCATTCCCAGTGACCCATTTGGCAAGGTATATGTCCCTTCCCAGCAATGCTAGGTTCTATGAACCTACAGATCCTGTTCCTGTTCTTACCAAGGGACACACACAGCCCATTAAACTTTAAGTTACAACTGCCACCTGGTCACTTCAATCACCTTGGGCCAAGAGACCAGAGGGCAAGGAAAGAAGTCACCAATCTGGGAGGAGTAACTGACTTTAGTCATCAGGAAGAGATAGGACTTCTATATTTTTATCAGCCAGGGAAATATATTTTTATCACCCAGATGATAAACACGTTTGTCATAAGAAGAATATATATGAAAGGTGTCTCTTCATACTCCTTGCCTAATTTTGACAACAAATGGACAAATACAACAGCCACAGTCTGGAGACTATGGTTAGCATGATGACTAGGCCTCAGAACCTCTCAGATATAAGGGACTCAATGACCTCAGGTAATCTGCCTAGGCCAGCAGAGGTGTAAGCCAAAGGTAAGGGGAAATCTAGAATTGGTATCAAAAGGATATAATGAATTATTAGTTGTGGCCCCAAGACCAGCGGTATCAAGAAAAACTGGAGTTAAGGAGTTAAGTCCTACTTACCTACCACTCCTATTTCCAGAAAGAGATCAACCATAATCCTGGAGGAGCTATTCCCAGATGGGATAAACTTATCATATGAAGCAAACAGACGATAATGGAAACTGTCAGGATGCACTATCCAGGACTTTCTTCAGGACCGAGGCACTCTTCCCCAGGTATGAAAATACCGTATGCAGCAGCTCACAACTGGCATCTCCCCAGCAACTGTCCTCGATGGAAGGGAGCTTCCTCACCCGAGGGTACGCCCCTTTCCAGAGGAAGCCCACATCAAATAAATGGACCATGAGAGGTACAAGAGTCAGCCCCCTTGCCTCAATTCAGAAGAACTCTGAAGAGCCATCTCAGGTCCAGAGTTCCACATTTAGAAGATGAACTGCATCACAGTTCAACTTCTCTCTCTCTTCCAATCCTGCCTTATCCACTCCCTTATGGGTGTGAATTCTTCCCAAAGTACTCCCCAGTAGATCTTCTGCATGCACTCTCTGTCCTTTCGACATGTTCCCATTCATCTTTGAGCAACTCCTTGCTTCCTGGCATGTTAAAACAATGCAGGCTCACCTTCTACTTTTCCTGCCCTGGAATTAGTCATTTCTAAAGTAGTAGTATTCCTGAATTAGAAGAGAAAGACTGTAAGAGAAATTGGTGAATCTAGTTTAAAGCCTTTCAAATCTCTTATTTGAAAAATCTTCACATTGAAAGCTGGAGAAATCCGAATGCTTCTTTAGAACTTAACAGTAAGCATTTTCCATTTGTCATTATTCAATGAGACTGAACCATGTACATACTGTCAACTTTATTGCTTACCACTATTTCCTCTCTTTTTTATCTTCTCATATCCTACAGTTACTATTCACTTTTGTTAGAGTATTTCCTCAAGACTTCACTAATCTCTGAACCTTGCACATCTGTAAAAATCTTTCTCCCTGACAAGTAACTGACAGTTTAGCCTACTATAGGACTCACGGGGTATAATTCTCTCACTATTCCATTCATATTATCCTATCAGCTTCTAGTCTCCAAAGCTGCATACAGGAAACTCAATCTCAGTCTGAATTTTTTTCCTTTGCAAGTAACATGGTTTTTTTAATCTAGAATCCAGTAAGATTTTATCATTAACCTTGGAGTTTGAAAATTTTATAGGCATATCATATCAGTTTTTCTCATTAGCCCTAATTAAAACTCAGGTTGGGGTGAGGGAATGGGGTACCCTTCAAGATACAAACTTAGGTCTTTCTTCTGATACAAGGTCTATTTTCTCTCTCTTTTTTTTTTTTTTAGTTTTTTAGTTTTTGTGGAACTCCTAATATTATATCTCTTGGATCTATGAAGTCTGTCTTCTCTCATTATTTCCTTTTAATTTAGGTTTTTGGGGATTTTATTTTTAACAGAGTTACACATGTGCATCATTTAAAACTTTACAAGACTTTTTATAGAAAACATCAGGCCCCACAGATTTCAAATCCCCCATGTTCTCTAAAACTTATGTAAATCTTTTCTCAATACATGCAAACCCATTAGGTATTTTACTAATTTCATCTTCTTAAAGAAGTCTCTCCTTGGGTTTTCTGACCTGTTTCAGTCTAAATTGGTTTATTTTCAGGCCTGCTGCACAGCTGTCATTTGGTATCTCTCTTCACCAACACTCAGTAAATTCCTTTGCCTTTCTTTTCTGTTAGATCCTATTTCTTAAATTTTGTTTTCTTCTCCCTTGGCTTACATCATTACTTTGATAATGCACAAGTTCCAGTAATTTCCATAGAAACGGTGTATGAAAATTGAGTTTTTAAGTCAATGTCTTTGTCCTAATTCATTTTTTTTTTTTTTTGGTATGTATTTATTCTTAGTTTTTAGATATTTCTTCCTCTTGATTTTTCCAACCCACTAATTCAGGCATATCTCCAGGGTAATTCTTCCTTAAATTCATCTACTTGAGTGGCCATGGAGTGCCCATATTAAACATTATTTCGGAGTGTATCTGTGAGAGCTGTTTCCAGAGATTAGCATTTGAATTGGTGGACTAGTGGATTGCCTTTCTCAGTGTGGATGGATTTCATCCAATCTGTTGAGGGTGTAAACAGAATAAAAGATGGAGGAAGGAGGAATTTGCTCCTTTTTTCCTGCTTCATCATTTGAGCTGAGACCTCTTATCTCATCTCCTGACCCTGGACTGGGATTTATACCACTGGCTCCTCTGGTTCTCAGGCCTTCAAATTTGGAATGGATTACTCCACTGGCTTTCTAGGGCCTCCAGCTTCAGACAACAGATCGTGGGAATTCTCTGTTTCTCTGGAGAACCTTGACTATGACAGATTTTGGAACCAAGAGTGGGGTGCTGCTGTAACAAATGCCTAAAAATGTGGAAGTGGCTTTGGTACTGGATAATGGGTAGTGGCTGAAAAGGTTTAGAGGTGCATGCTCAAAATATGAGCATTAAAGGGTAATTCTAGTGAGGACCCAGAAAGAAAAGAGGAGAGCCAGAGAGAAAACCCCAATCATCTTAGAAAATACTTAAATAATCCTGAATGGAATGCTGATAAAAATATGGACCACAAAGCCCACTATGATTAGGTTTCAGATGGAAATGAGGAATATGTTATTGGAAACTGAAGAAAAGATGATCCTTATTATAAAGTGACAAAGAACTTGGCTGAACGGTGTTCATGTTTTAGTGTTTTGTGGAAGGCAGAACTTGCAAGCAATGGAACTGGATATTTAGCTGAGGAGATCTCTAAGCAAAGTATTGAAGGAGTGACCTGGTTCGTCCTGACCACTTACAGTAAAATGTGAGAAGAGAGAAATGATTGGAAGACAGAATTATTAATTAAGCAAAAAAAAAAAAAGGAACTAGAACTTAAAGATTTGGAAAATTTTCAGCCTATCCATACTGCAAAAAATGAAAACGTATTTTTGGAAGAGGATACTAAAGGTATAGCAAAGTGACCATTTGATAAGGAGATTAATACCTAAACCACAGACCTAAAACATCCATCTCAAGAGAAGCCAGATGCTGTTCTTTAAGACAAGGAAAGACTACCACCACCACCCACCATCAGGGTAAATCAGAAATCATCAGAGCTCCCACTGCCATCACAGGCCCAGAGTGCAAGAACTCAGGGGACAGAATGGTTTCAAAGGGTGAGGCTGCCTTTCTTATAGCAGTCTAAACTAAAACAATATGCAATCTTACTTCACTCATTGAGAGAATTTACATTTTAATTTGTTCATAGTTTTATAAAAATTTCCATAGAGCAAACTATAACAAATATTTAAAAGTAAGTATATTACAGGCCATAGTCACTGATCATAATTCAATAATACTAGAAATAATTTTTAAATGGTTTGAAACATCTTAAGACTTGAAAATTAACTGTTGATCAAAGAGGAAAAATCACAAACTCCCTAGAAATTAATGAAAAAATAAGTACATAAAAATGTACAGAACACAGCAAAAGCCATACTTAGATAAAAACTGTTTCCCTAAACCCTTTCATTATGAAGACAAATGACTACAACTGCAGGTATGTTACATTTATCTTAAGGTTTAAAAAAAAAGGCACAAAATTAACCAAAAGAAAATATAAAGAGTGAATGAATAAAAATAACAGATATAATTGGTGATACAGAGAAAAAGTAGGAGAACTGATAATTCCAAAAGATTTTTTTTTAACTGCCTAAAGATATAAAGCAAAACAAATATTAGCAAGACTGGGAATAGAAGAAATGTATGATTTCCCAGAAAATAACAAATAGCCCAAATTAAACTAAGTAGAAAAGCCAAACTGACTAATTACCAATGAAGAGACTGGAAAGGTGACCATTATTTTTTTAATTAATTAATTTATAAAGATTTTATTTATTTGAGAGAGAGAAAGAGACAGGTGCAGCACACGCCCAAGCTGTGGGAAGAGCAGAGGCAGAGGGACAAGCAGACTCCACGCTGAGCACAGAGCCTGATGTGGGGGCTCAATCCCATGACCTGAGATCATGACCTGAGCCAAAATCAAGAGTCCAACGGTAAACTGACTGAGCCACCCAGGTGACTATTATTATTATTATTATTATTGTTGTTTTTTTTTTAGAAACAGGGATCCCTTTAACACCATTTTAAGAGCTATTTTTTTTAATTTTTTAAATTAACATACACTGTATTATTTGTTTCAGGGGTATAGGTCTGTGATTCATTAGTCTTACACAACACCCTGAGCGTGACAACACATACTCTCCCCAATGTCTATCAACCAGCCACCCCATCCCTCCCACACCCCCTCCACTCCAGCAACCCTCAGTTTGTTTCCTGAGATTAAGAGTCTCTTATGGTTTGTCTCCCCCTCTGGTTTCGTCTTGTTTCATTTTTCCCTCCCTTCCCCTATTATTTTAAATAACACAGCCAAAAAACCTTTAAATCTGAGTTCTAACAATTAAGGAACAAATAATTACAATGTTATTTAAATTATTCCATACCAAATAAAAGATGAAATGTTTCCCAATTCATTTCATGAAACCAGCAAAACCTTATTACCAAAACTTAATTAAAAAACAAACTCTGAAACTATATACCTTCCTAATTATTTCAGTTACTATGGCTATATGAAAAAAAATAAATAACCCTAATACTTACTGACCAAGACACCACTTACTTTGCTCATGAATCTGCAATTTAAACAGGCCTCAGGGGCGCCTGGGTGGCTCAGTCGTTAAGCGTCTGCCTTCGGCTCAGGTCATGATCCCAGGGTCCTGGGATCGAGCCCCGCGTCGGGCTCTCTGCTCCGCGGGAAGCCTGCTTCTCCCTCTCCCATTCCCCCTGCTTGTGTTCCCTCTCTCGCTGTGTCTCTCTCTGTCAAATAAATAAATAAAATCTTTAAAAAAAATAAAATAAAATAAACAGGCCTCAGAGAAGATAGTTTGTCTCTGCTCCACTTAGTATCAACTGGGGTGGTTCAAAGGCTGGGGACTGAAATTAAATAAAGGCTCATTCACTAACACATCCGGTGGCTGATGCAGTCAGATGAAACCTTGGCTGGTTTCACATAGCTAGCTTCTGTATGTGGCCTAGGCTTCCTTACACTATGGTGGCTAGGTTCCAAAGGTAAGCATTTTTTTTTATTATTATTATTTTATGTTAATCACCATACATTACGTCATTAGTTTTTGATGTAGTGTTCCATGATTCGTTGTTTGCGTATAACATCTAGTGCTCCATGCAGAACGTGCCCTCCTTAATACCCATCACCAGGCTAACCCATCCCCCCACCCCCCTCCTCTCTAGAACCCTCAGTTTGTTTCTCAGAGTCCATAGTCTCTCATGGTTCGTCTCCCGAGAGAGCCAGCCAGAAACAGTACCACCTTTTATGACCTAGCCTTATCAGTCATACAGTATCAGCTCCTCCACATTCCATTAATCAGTTCGAAGGCCAGCCCAGGTTCAAGAGGAGAGGAAATAAACTCAGTTTCTAAGTGGCATGGTTCTAGAAGAACATGTACGACTACAAATATTGTTGAAACCAATTTTGAAAAATACTATATGCTACAGTCCACCTTCTGGTCACAGCAGTTCACATCCCTCCACATGCAAAAATATATATACTTGTTCCCTCCCCCAATACCCACAACTATCAGGCTCAGGCTTGAGGTCCAGGTATGGATTAACTTCTTGGGTACAGTTCCTTAAATATAGCCCCTTGAGTACAGTTCCTCTTGATCTGAAGAACTATAAACAAAAAAGATAAGTTATCTTGCTCCACAAACGTGAATACACAATAATGGAGCAGGCATAGGCCCATTAAAAGTTTAAGACCCAGCTGGGCATATGCTGCTAGTTCCTCAACTAAGGAATGAACCATGTGACTCATGTCTCCCCATTCTGGGCTGTAGGTTTCATGGTAATTAGCTATGTTCTTGGCATGCTTCTTGATTGTACAACTTTGAGATCCAAAGGCCTTTTTTTCATTTTGTATTATCTTTGTGCCTTTCAGTCTAAATTGATATAATCCTTTTAAAAACTACGTGGATCATGAGAATGAGAAAACAAGCCACAGGGGCGCCTGGGTGGCTCAGTCGTTAAGTGTCTGCCTTCAGCTCAGGTCGTGATCCCAGGGTCCTGGGATCGAGCCCCACATCGGGCTCCCTGCTCAGCGGGAGGCCTGCTTCTCCCTCTCCCAGTCCCCCTGCTTGTGTTCCCTCTCTCGCTGTGTCTCTCTCTGTCAAATAAATAAAATCTTTAAAAAAAAGAAAAAGAAAAAAGAAAACAAGCCACAGACTCAGAGAAAATATTTGCAAAGACTCATCTGATAAAGGACTATTACCTAAAATACACAAAGAATTCTTAAAACTCAACCGTAAGACAATGAACAACCAGATTAAAAACTGGGCAAAAGATCTGCATAAAGACCTACCAAAGAAGATATACAGATGGCAAATAAGCATATAAAAAGATGCTAAACATCATATGTTACTAGGAAAATGCACCTACTCTGCACCTACTAGAATGGCCAAAATCCAGAAAACTAACAACACTGAATGCTGGTGAGGATATGAAGTAACAGGACATCTCATTCATTGCTGGTGGAAATGGAAAATGGTACAGAAACTTTGGAAGACAATTTGGCAGTTTCTTACAAAACTAAACATACTCTTATAATACAATACAGCCATCACACTCCTTGGTATTAACCTAAAAGGCTTGAAAATTTATATCCACACAAAAACCACCCTGGGAACAACCAAGAGGTCCTTCAGTAGGTGAATGGATAAACCATGCAGACAATAGAGTATTACTCAGTGTTTAAAAGAAATGAGCTATCAAACCATGGAAAGACAGGGAAGAGCTTTAAATGCATATTATTACTAAGTGAAAGAAGCCAATCTGACAAGGCTATTAATACTGTATGACTACAACTGTATGACACTCTAAAAAAGGCAAAACTATGCAAAGAGTAAAGATTAGTTTGTCAGGGGCTGGGGGGAGGACTGGATGAATAAGCAGAGCTTAGAAGATTTTTAGGGCAGTAAGAATATTCTGTATGATACTGTAATGGTGGATATATGTCATTATACACTTGTCCAAGCCCACAGAACATACACCAAGAGTGAATCCTATTGTAAACTATGGGCCAGGAGTGATAAAGATGTGTCAATGCAGGCTCACTGATTTTAACAAATGTACCATACCAGTGTATGAGAGGGACAAAGAATATGGGAACTCTGTGCTTTCTGCTCGATTTTGTTCTGAACCTAAAACTGCTCTAAAAAGTCTTTTTTTTAAAACTGTATGGATTTCTTATGAATCAATTCATAATCCACTCCATTAGACAAAAGCCACACCCATAAATTTCAAAATAACTCCTTGAGCTTCCTATAAGGTCCTGAGGGACAGTGCTCTTAAAATTCTTAGAGAACCTTTTGTTTAATAAAGAAGATCTATGAAGCACTGCAGGTCCTCAGGTCCTTAAAGAGAATACTGTCTTTGTGAAGCATGACATTAAGTTTCCTAAGGCCTCAAAAAAGAGTTTTATAATCATTCCCTTGGCTTCATTGTTAAATGACAATACTCTAGATTTGATCTCTTTCTGACAATACTCTAGATTTGATCTCTTTTCATTAGACTTTTCTTTTTTCTTTTTTTCTAAGTTTTTTTTTTTTCCCATTAGACTTTTCTTAATTTGAGAATTGTCTGCCATCTGGAGAAACTAGAAAAGAGAGTTTTATTTTTGAACTCAGTAAGTTCTAGTTCCTTTATATTTAACAATTCTCTCCTTAGTTTATCTTTCTTACTCCAATCAGACTACTTTAACAAAATGCCAGAGTGGCTTATAAACAACGAAAATTTATTTCTCACAGTTCCAGAGGCTAGAAGCCCAAGATCAGGGTGCCAAAATGGTTGGGTTCTGGTGAAGACCCTCTCTTACATTGCAAACTGCCAAACTGTCACTGTATTCTCTCATGGTGGAAGGGGCTTGTCAGCTTTGTGGGGTCTCTTTTATAAAAGCACTACTCCCATTTATGAGGGCTCCAGCCTCATGACCCTAAGCACCTCCCCAAAGGCCCCAACTGCTAATATCATCACATGGGCATTAAGATTTAACCTAAGAATTTTGGAGGACACAACCATTCATACCATAATACTCTCTTCTATCATATTTTACTATAAGCAGCAAGAAACAGCCAGAAAATACCCCCTGGAAATACCTTTATCATGCAATTCATTGCCATCATGCAAACCATTTCCTATTTTCCACATTACCATAGGTGACAATGTTGCTGAACTTTCTGCTATTACATATCAAGGATCTTTTCACTAACTTCAAATTATATTTTTTCACTTTCCTTTAAGCCTTCACTGACTTCCTCAAGGGCTATCAGGTTTCCACCAACAATCTTTTCAAAACCCTCCCATCTTCCGCCCACTGTCTAGTCCTAGTTTGGTTTCAGCTACTGCTATATTTTTAGGTTTCTGTTACATGGCACCCCACTTCCAAATACCAGAATTATTTCAGTTTCTATAACTGCATAATGAATTACCCCAAAATTTAGGGGTTTAAAAGAATATTATTTATTTTGCTCAAGAATCTGCAATTTGGGCAGGGCTTTCTGCTCCACTCAAAGGAGATATAAACAACAACAAAAAATTATAGACGCTTATAACAGATGTCAGTGTATATATGAGGGGCACAAAGGATTAGTGGTTAATTCCATCTGGGAAATCACAGAAAAAGTAACCCTGAGCCAAAGTTGGGTGCTGACATGAAGAGGAGAAGTAATATCAAACAGGGGATCATATACAAAAAAACTGCAAGTGTATTGATATAAATAAGTCCATTGAGGAAAGAGAACAGAAAGGAAAGAACTAGTAAGAGGTGAGGCTAAAAAGGAAGGCTGGGAACAGACAATGTTTTTATAGGAGTAAGCAAGAGGCCTGGAATCAAATCAGCTCTAACACTACCAGAAGCTACACCATGCAGAGTAGCTGCTACTGGGAACTATTGGGAACTGTGAAGAACTGCAGCTGCTAAAGAAAGGCCCCTAAGTTATAAGAAAGAATGCCAGGAAGTGCTGTCATGGAGAGAGGTTGTCAAAAGATACCACTTTAGTGGTACCTGATAGAAAAGCTACCAGGAAGAAAAGCAAGAAATGTCTTCAGCTGAACAGCCACAAGGTCAGGCTGGAGTTCCCTATGCATTCTGTATCTCTAATTCAAACACCCACCTTCTGCTTAAAGAGAAAGAAGGCTGCTCCCACTATCTACTTAATACGCAGAGGTAGTAGTGACTATGAGAATTTCAATACAACTTCTCTCCAAAAAGTCAACAGAAACTCAGTGAGGCCTACAGTTATTTATACAGACTGGATTATTCTCTCAGGTTCATGATGAAAAGCATAAACCTGGAAAAGAAGGTGGTATTTCTCTCTCCCTCTGTCTCTCCATGTATGCACATCAATCTCTCTTTAACCTATTAGATTTCTTTTTTTTTAATAGGAACTCTGTGCTATTTTATTTTTTTCATAACCACACATTAATAGCTTACTTCAAAGCCACCAGAAGCCAACAGCATGAACCTTATACTAAATCCTGGCTGTCTAGTACATGTTTTCTCTTAAAAGTGAAGTTTTTATTTGGCAGTGGCACTTTTT